TTCAATCCAAAGTAGCAATCAATCAACAAGTGATCCAAATCAAGCAAGAAGAAATAGCTCCATGTTCAAAGCAGTGAAACAATGCAAATCACATTCAGACTGGAAAGAGATTACACAATAGAGACCTATAGGAAAGCTACCACTAAAAGCTCCTATACAATAGTAAAGACTAGTCAACTATAACAATAGCCATAAACAAATAAACTATATAATATAACATTACTAACACACCCTCTCAAGCACAAGGTTGAAGGGCGACAACATTGAGCTTGTCTCGCAGAGCGTGATAGCGTGGAGCTGGTAGTGGTTAGTGAAGATATCTGCTAGCTGATCCTTGGTTGAGACAAAACTGACAATGAAATCCCCAGAAGTGACCTTGTCCCGAACGAAGAAATAATCGATCTCAACATGCTTCGTGTGGGCGTGAAAAACTGGATTTTCTGCTAGGTAAGTGGCCCCTAGGTTGTCACACCATAGGGTGGCTGGTGAGCCAGAGTGCAGCCCTAGTTCACGGAGTAACGAGACAACCCACGTGACTTCGGCGGCAACATCAGCAAGCCCTTTGTACTCTGCCTCTATGGAAGACCTGGAGACAGTTCGGGAGACCCATGAAACAAGATTTTCACCTAAGAACACGGCGTAACCACTAGTAGACTTGCGGTCGACGGGACATCCAGCCCAATCTGAGTCAGTGTAAGCATGAAGATCGGAAGAGGAAGACACTGACAGACGAAGCCCGTAGTCCTGAGTGCCCTTAATGTACCTCAGCACAAGCTTGAGTAGAGCCCAGTGGTCGTCCGTGGGTGTAACACCCTGAATTTTTAAACTTTTGAAACTTATATAATAAAGGTAAGTTCTCATTAAATCCCAAAACATAATATAAATAGTACAGGGTGCTATGCCACACCTGAGTTAGAGAACTCAGGTGCACAGGCTAACTAACTAATATCCTCAACAAAGTAAAAGCATAAGCATGACACGCAGGCCGAAAGGGAAAACTGTCTACTTCTACGTTCCACGATTCTAGCGCGCTCCAGTGTCTACTCTTCTATGCCTGAAAGCCAAATATATCTGTTCAGCGAGAGACGCTGGTAACCCACTCCAACGCGTTGCAATACAATACATATAGATATATACATAGATATACGAAAACCATTTCGAAGCATGAAGATATATCCTAAGAGACTCTAGCTTTCAAAACAGGGAATAGACTCGACAGATAGGGATAAGCACAACCAACAGTCATAACCAAACATGCCCAATTCACAGGTGTGGGGAACAGACACGACAGATAGAGACAAGCACAACCAATAGTCAAAATCAAGCATATACAGTTACTAGCATGTATTCTATGGTCACGCTTTCATAACAATCCAATCATCCATATCTCATCACATAGCACACTTTGTTGGCGCCACAGGACCAATCGCATGCCCATACATGAGGGTCAGCGCATATAGCTCTGACACGGCCCCATAGCACCCTGCGTCGTATCGCAACACGGAGGGGTCGATCGCAACCGACCGATGAACCACAGCTCATCATAATGTTCGATCGCAACCAAACAGTGGACCGCAGCCCAAGCAGCCAGGAATATGAACCGCAGCTCATGTAAAACGTTTGATCGCAACCAAACGGTGGACCGCAGCCCGAGAGAGTGTAAATCTGACCGCAGCCAGCTTCTGAACCGCAGTTCAGGAATAACCAATTCGATCGCAACCGAATTGGGGTATCATGCACACATAACACATAACAAGTACATGCAACCCACATTGACACATTGGGAAGGGGGAGAAATCGTATAATAAAACCTCCTCCACATACTAAGAATATTCTTAAGGAGTTCATACTTCTTACACCTAGGCCAACGGGATACCAATTCAACTAGCATGCAATATATAAGACTTATTCCACCTACGAATGGTACCCGAACATCCAACTAGACTTAGGCACGATAGACGGAGTCCGTTGGGACACCACGGGGGTCGGGGGAACATCAAACGGGGAAGCTAGAATCCCAAATTAGGGTAAAATCCAGCGGGTAGCCGGTGGGTGAGGGGTCACCCGCCGGCGTCGTGGTTCCGGGCAGCGGGTGCCCGGCGGGCAGCTGCCCGCTGCCGGCGACGTTAACATTGGCCGCGGGTAGGTGGCGGGTCCCCTACCCCCACCTACCCTCCACTGACTCTTTTCATCACAGAAAACGCCCCGGGAACCATTGTGGAACCCCAAACCATGCTTAGACACCTTCAAGCGCAATTGACAACAACATGTAGACAATTAACGGATCCAAAAGCAAGAAACATACGGCACATAACCTATCATGCTTTTCTAAACATAATCAACACCCAAACATGCGAATTCCCACCCAATACACCAAGAATAGTACGACACGAGTTTCACGATACAACCTAGGGTTCTAATTACTTTTAAATCAACAAGGACACAATTCATCTCCTAATATCAAGGTTCGGTAGGAATACCACATAAACATCAAGAACATTATACAATTATCAAGAACATCATATAATCATCAAGAACACCATATAATCATCAAGAACCTTTTTCATCATCAAGATCATCAAGATTACCCATGGAATCATAACACCAATTGTCAAGATCAATATAACGAATCATCAACACACAAGAATATGGGGAAAGCCTAAGAGGGGAATCATAGCTATGAAAATTGGTTTTGTTGAGACATGGGTTACCTCTTAGCCTTAATTAATTCCTTGGCTATGAAGGGTCTTTCTTTAAGCTTTCTTCTTTCTTGATTTCTCCTAAGGGAATTCTTGGAACTTCTTGTGTGGTGAGAGATTATTGTGGTGGGGGTTCTAGGTGCCTCCTTATGTCCCTTATTTATATATCTAAGAGTCCTAATCAGGGCCCAAATACTATAGGCTTGCTAACTCTACTCCTTTTAGGACTAGAGGTTGGATTTAGAGATGAGGGCCCACGGACTATGGTGGGCCTTTTCCAAATTAATTATTGTAATTTAATTCTTTCTTTGGATAATTGGTTAAATGATTAATTGGTTTTAGGGGTCGTAACACGGGGTGTTACAGTGGGAGAATGCATGAACTGGCACAACCTGTTTACCGAGTAGGAGAGATCAGGCCTGGTGATGGTTAGATACTGTAGAGCCCCTACAATCCTACGATACTGAGTCGGGTTTTCAAAAGAAGTTAAGGAGGGCGTGGCCGGTTGCGTTACTACCGCTGGAGTAGCTAGAGCCTTACAGTCCGTCATTCCTGACCTCGTCAGGATATCTTTCATATACCGCCGCTGAGATAAGATAAGCTCATCACCGGAAGACACTGTTTCTATCCCTAGGAAAAAGTGAGGTACCCCAAGATCACGGATTTTAAAGGCTGTTGATAACTGGCTGAGAAGAGTATCAATCAATGCCGAGTCGTTGCCCATCATGATTATGTCGTATACGTAGACCAATAAGTAGACCCGTGAGTTGCCCGCTGTATAGTAAAAGAGTGAGACATCGATTTTGGATGCCAAGAAACCAGTAGATGTCAGAAACTCGTGTAAGCGGTTGAACCACACCCGGGGTGCCTGTTTGAGACCATACAAGGAACGTTGCAAGTGGCAGACGTGGCCTGGATGAGACGGGTCCTCGTAGCCGGGAGTTTGCTTCATGTATACTGTTTCGGATAGACGACCATTCAAGAAGGCGTTGTGGACATCAAGCTGCCGCAACACCCATTTGCGTGATACTGCAAGAGAGAACAAAATACGAACAGTAGTCGGCTTGACTACGGAACTAAAGGTGTCAAAAAAGTCTTCACCAGCGACCTGATTGAACCCCTTTGCCACTAATCGGGCTTTGTAGCGTTCAACGGTCCCATCGGCCTTGCGCTTGGTATGGAAGACCCATTTGCAGCCGATAATATTCATATTCGGAGATGCCGGGATGAGTTGCCACGTGTTGTTATGCATAAGGGCATTGAACTCCTGATCCATAGCATCACGACATTGCGGATGACCTACAGCTTGGGAGTAGCAAGTGGGGTCTACGGTGGTGTTAAGAGAGTAGAACTCCTCGTCGTGACCCCGAGTTTTACCCCTGGTGTAACACCCCGTGTTACGGCCCTTAATCCCGAATTAATTATTTAATTAATTCCATTAATAATAATTAAAAAGGATTTAATTTGATTAGAAATCCCTTTAATTAATTAACGTGGTCCACCACGGATCGTGGACCCTTGCCTAAACTAGAGTCATAAGCCTATTAGGAATAAAGAAAGTATACCTTTACTATTCAGATTATGGTTAGGATTCTCTTTAATTAATTAATTTGGTCCACCATGGACCATGGACCCTTATCCCTAAAACAAGTCCTTAATCCTATAAGGAATAGAATTAGTAAACCCATACCATTCAGACCCTAATTAGGACTCCTAAATATATATATAAGGACATAGGAGGCACCTAGAAGTCACACCACAATAAATATCACCACACAAGAACTCCCAAGGGACTCCTCACCACCAAGCCTAGGGAGATCAAAACGGATGGAAATCTTAGGGAAGAACCTTAATAGCCAAGGGATGATTAATTAAGGCTAAGAGGTAACCCATGTCTCAACAAAACTTATTTTCTTCGCTATAATCTCCTTCCTTGGCCTCCCTCTATATTCTTGTGTCTCGATTGAATTCTTCTATGATATAATATAACATTACTAACACACCCCCTCAAGCACAAGGTTGAAGGGCGACAACATTGAGCTTGTCTCGCAGAGCGTGATAGCGTGGAGCTGGTAGTGGTTTAGTGAAGATATCTGCTAGCTGATCCTTGGTTGAGACAAAACTGACAATGAAATCCCCAGATGTGACCTTGTCCCGAACGAAGAAATAATCGATCTCAACATGCTTCGTGTGGGCGTGAAAAACTGGATTTGCTGCTAGGTAAGTGGCCCCTAGGTTGTCACACCATAGGGTGGCTGGTGAGCCAGAGTGCAGCCCTAGTTCACGGAGTAACGAGACAACTCACGTGACTTCGGCGGCAACATCAGCAAGCCCTTTGTACTCTGCCTCAATGGAAGACCTGGAGACAGTACGCTGTTTGCGGGAGACCCATGAAACAAGATTTTCACCTAAGAACACGGCGTAACCACTAGTAGACTTGCGGTCGACGGGACATCCAGCCCAATCTGAGTCAGTGTAAGCATGAAGATCGGAAGAGGAAGACACTGACAGACGAAGCCCGTAGTCCTGAGTGCCCTTAATGTACCTCAGCACAAGCTTGAGTAGAGCCCAGTGGTCGTCCATGGGTGTAACACCCTGAATTTTTAAACTTTTGAAACTTATATAATAAAGGTAAGTTCTCATTAAATCCCAAAACATAATATAAATAGTACAGGGTGCTATGCCACACCTGAGTTAGAGAACTCAGGTGCACAGGCTAACTAACTAATATCCTCAACAAAGTAAAAGCATAAGCATGACACGCAGGCCGAAAGGGAAAACTGTCTACTTCTACGTTCCACGATTCTAGCGCGCTCCAGTGTCTACTCTTCTATGCCTGAAAGCCAAATATATCTGTTCAGCGAGAGATGCTGGTAACCCACTCCAACGCGTTGCAATACAATACATATAGATATATACATAGATATACGAAAACCATTTCGAAGCATGAAGATATATCCTAAGAGACTCTAGCTTTCAAAACAGGGAATAGACTCGACAGATAGGGATAAGCACAACCAACAGTCATAACCAAACATGCCCAATTCATAGGTGTGGGGAACAGACACGACAGATAGAGACAAGCACAACCAATAGTCAAAATCAAGCATATACAGTTACTAGCATGTATCCTATGGTCACGCTTTCATAACAATCCAATCATCCATATCTCATCACATAGCACACTTTGTTGGCGCCACAGGACCAATCGCATGCCCATACATGAGGGTCAGCGCATATAGCTCTGACACGGCCCCGCAGCACCCTACGTCGTATCGCAACACGGAGGGGTCGATCGCAACCGACCGATGAACCACAGCTCATCATAATGTTCGATCGCAACCAAACAGTGGACCGCAGCCCAAGCAGCCAGGAATATGAACCGCAGCTCATGTAAAACGTTTGATCGCAACCAAACGGTGGACCGCAGCCCGAGAGAGTGTAAATCTGACCGCAGCCAGCTTCCGAACCGCAGCTCAGGAATAACCAATTCGATCGCAACCGAATTGGGGTATCATGCACACATAACACATAACAAGTACATGCAACCCACATTGACACATTGGGAAGGGGGAGAAATCGTATAACGAAACCTCATCCACATACTAAGAATATTCCTAAGGGGTTCATACTTCTTACACCTAGGCCAACGGGATACCAATTCAACTAGCATGCAATATATAAGACTTATTCCACCTACGAATGGTACCCGAACATCAAACTAGACTTAGGCACGATAGACGGAGTCCGTTGGGACACCACGGGGGTCGGGGGAATATCAAACGGGGAAGCTGGAATCCCAAATTGGGGTAAAATCCAGCGGGTAGCCGGTGGGTGAGGGGTCACCCGCCGGCGTCGTGGTTCCGGGCAGCTGCCCGCCCGCCGGCTGCCCGCTGCCGGCGACGTTAACATTGGCCGCGGGTAGGTGGCGGGTCCCCTACCCCCACCTACCCTCCACTGACTCTTTTCATCACAGAAAACGCCCCGGGAACCATTGTGGAACCCGAAACCATGCTTAGACACCTTCAAGCGCAATTGACAACAACACGTAGACAATTAACGGATCCAAAAGCAAGAAACATACGGCACATAACCTATCATGCTTTTCTAAACATAATCAACACCCAAACATGCGAATTCCCACCCAATACACCAAGAATAGTACGACACGAGTTTCACGATACAACCTAGGGTTCTAATTACTTTTAAATCAACAAGGACACAATTCATCTCCTAATATCAAGGTTCGGTAGGAATACCACATAAACATCAAGAACATTATACAATTATCAAGAACATCATATAATCATCAAGAACACCATATAATCATCAAGAACCTTTTTCATCATCAAGATCATCAAGATTACCCATGGAATCATAACACCAATTGTCAAGATCAATATAACGAATCATCAACACACAAGAATATGGGGAAAGCCTAAGAGGGGAATCATAGCTATGAAAATAGGTTTTGTTGAGACATGGGTTACCTCTTAGCCTTAATTAATTCCTTGGCTATGAAGGGTCTTTCTTTAAGCTTTCTTCTTTCTTGATTTCTCCTAAGGGAATTCTTGGAACTTCTTGTGTGGTGAGAGATTATTGTGGTGGGGGTTCTAGGTTCCTCCATATGTCCCTTATTTATATATCTAAGAGTCTTAATCAGGGCCCAAATACTATAGGCTTGCTAACTCTACTCCTTTTAGGACTAGAGGTTGGATTTAGAGATGAGGGCCCACGGACTATGGTGGGAGAATGCATGAACTGGCACAGGGTGTTACAGTGGGAGAATGCATGAACTGGCACAACCTGTTTACCGAGTAGGAGAGATCAGGCCTGGTGATGGTTAGATACTGTAGAGCCCCTACAATCCTACGATACTGAGTCGGGTTTTCAAAAGAGGTTAAGGAGGGCGTGGCCGGTTGCGTTACAACCGCTGGAGTAGCTAGAGCCTTACAGTCCGTCATTCCTGACCTCGTCAGGATATCTTTCATATACCGCCGCTGAGATAAGATAAGCCCATCACCGGAAGACACTGTTTCTATCCCTAGGAAAAAGTGAGGTACCCCAAGATCACGGATTTTAAAGGCTGTTGATAACTGGCTGAGAAGAGTATCAATCAATGCCGAGTCGTTGCCCATCATGATTATGTCGTCTACGTAGACCAATAAGTAGACCCGTGAGTTGCCCGCTGTATAGTAAAAGAGTGAGACATCGATTTTGGATGCCAAGAAACCAGTAGATGTCAGAAACTCGTGTAAGCGGTTGAACCACACTCGGGGTGCCTGTTTGAGACCATACAAGGAACGTTGCAAGTGGCAGACGTGACCTGGATGAGACGGGTCCTCGTAGCCGGGAGTTTGCTTCATGTATACTGTTTCGGATAGACGACCATTCAAGAAGGCGTTGTGGACATCAAGCTGCCGCAACACCCATTTGCCTGATACTGCAAGAGAGAACAAAATACGAACAGTAGTCGGCTTGACTACGGAACTAAAGGTGTCAAAAAAGTCTTCACCAGCGACCTGATTGAACCCCTTTGCCACTAATCGGGCTTTGTAGCGTTCAACGGTCCCATCGGCCTTGCGCTTGGTACGGAAGACCCATTTGCAGCCGATAATATTCATATTCGGAGATGCCGGGATGAGTTGCCACGTGTTGTTATGCATAAGGGCATTGAACTCCTGATCCATAGCATCACGACATTGCGGATGACCTACAGCTTGGGAGTAGCAAGTGGGGTCCACGGTGGTGTTAAGAGAGTAGAACTCCTCGTCGTGACCCCGAGTTTTACCCCTGGTGTAACACCCCGTGTTACGGCCCTTAATCCCGAATTAATTATTTAATTAATTCCATTAATAATAATTAAAAAGGATTTAATTTGATTAGAAATCCCTTTAATTAATTAACGTGGTCCACCACGGATCGTGGACCCTTGCCTAAACTAGAGTCATAAGCCTATTAGGAATAAAGAAAGTATACCTTTACTATTCAGATTATGGTTAGGATTCTCTTTAATTAATTAATATGGTCCACCATGGACCATGGACCCTTATCCCTAAAACAAGTCCTTAATCCTATAAGGAATAGAATTAGTAAACCCATACCATTCAGACCCTAATTAGGACTCCTAAATATATATATAAGGACATAGGAGGCACCTAGAAGTCACACCACAATAAATATCACCACACAAGAACTCCCAAGGGACTCCCCACCACCAAGCCTAGGGAGATCAAAACGGATGGAAATCTTAGGGAAGAACCTTAATAGCCAAGGGATGATTAATTAAGGCTAAGAGGTAACCCATGTCTCAACAAAACCTATTTTCTTCGCTATAATCTCCTTCCTTGGCATCCCTCTATATTCTTGTGTCTCGATTGAATTCTTCTATGATAATTATGTTACGTTCTTGATGATTGATAAGATGATTTATATGCTTTCTTGATAATCTTGATGATCTTGATGTTAAAAGGAAGTTCATGATTATGATGTGAGGATTCAGGACGAATCTTGATATTTTCTTGATGTTAAAGATAAAATATGTTCTTGATGATTTAGGTGGGATTAGAGCCCTAGGTCGGATCGGGAATTTATATTGTGACATTCTTGATTTATATTTGGGTGGGATTTCGCATGTTCGGGTGTTGTTTACATTAGAAATCGTAATAGGATAAGTCCTACATAATTCTTGCTTTTGATCCGTTAACTGCTTCTGTGGTGTCGTTATTTGCGTTTAAAAGTGTCTAAGCATGGTTTCGGGTTCGACGAAGGTCCCCGAGACGAAATTATGGTAAAGGAGTCAGTGGGGGGTAGGTGGGGGTAGGGGAACCCGCCACCTACCCACTGCCCAGAAAACACCGCCGGGCAGTCGCCTGCCCGCCGGCAACCCGCTGTCGGAACAGTGAATTCCGGCGGGCAGCCGGCGGGTGACCCCCACCCACCGGCTACCCGCTAATCCACACCCCCACCCCGGGTCCCCAGCTTCCCCGTTTGATGTTCCCCGTTCCCCATGGTGTCCCAACGGACCCCGTTTGTCGTGTCTGAGTCTAGTTTGGAATTTCGGGTACCATTCGTAGGTTAAACGAGTCTTAGAAATTGCATGCTAGTTGAATTGGTAACCCGTGGACCTAGGTGAAAGTCGTATGAACTCCTTAGGAATTATTCTTAGTATGTGAATGATCACACGTAAGCTTAATTATATGTCCCCCCACTTCCCTATGTGAATTATGTGTTATAATGTGCTATTGTGTGTTACGTGATGCATGACCCCAACTTGGTTAAGATCAATTGGGCTATACGGGCAGTTGAATGGGCTGAGAACCATCCCAACTGTTAACCAGACCGGTTAAGACCGGTCGGGTATATGTATATTATATAGGACTGAGGTCCACTATACGGGCAGTTGAATGGACTGCGAACCATCCTAACTGTTAACCAGGCTGGTAGAGACCGGTCAGGTATATAAAGATTATGTATAGGACTGTAGGTCCACATGGGCCTCGGTGATATGACCCACCGACCTGGACGTGCCAGACGGTGTGTAGGGCCAACACGCCGAGGAAGGCTGTAGTCCACCGACCTGAGTAATCAGGCGGTGTGTAGGGCTACGGCTGGCTGCGATCCACCGAGTGATGGGACATCGGTATGTAGGGCCGTAGTCTCCGAGGATCTTTGCCCACCGATTGAGTTTAGCTCAGTGGTGTGTCAGGCTTGATTTGCTACGGTCCACCGATTATGCGCATCAACGGTGTGTAGGGTCGTAAGTCCCCCTTGTAAAGGGGATCGCGGTCCACCGACTGGGCGCGTCAGCGGTGTGTCGGATCGTGGTCCGACGTTGAGTTCGTCAGCGGTTCTCAAAGGGTTGGTTGCGATCAACTCCCCTCATACCGCGGTACTGAGGTAGGGTGCTGCGCAGCTGTGTTAATGCTATATGCATTAACCCTCATGTTCGGGGCATGCGATTGGTCCCGTGGCGCCATCAACGTTATATGATATGAATGATGATGTGTTTGAATTGAAAAGTGAACTGTGACCTTAGACGCGTATTCCTTATGATGATATCTCTACTTAACTGTTTATTACTGTTTGATATATATACCTATATTGTATTTCAACGCGTTGGAGTGGGTTACCAGCATCTCTCGCTGAACGGATATATTTGGCTTTCAGGCAAAAACGTGTAGATCCCAGAGCGCGCTAGAAGATCGTGGATTAGATAGATAGTCTTTCCTTTCGGCCTGCGTGCCATGATGATGTATTGAGGATATTTAGTTAGTTTAGCCTGTGCATCTGAGTTCTCCAGCTCAGATGTGGCATACCACCCCGTACAGTTATAATTAGTAATGCTTTGTTTGGGATTTTATGAGAAATTACCTTTATCATATTAGTTTTAAAAGTTTCAAAATTTCGTGGTGTTACACTTGGTATCAGAGCCTAAGTTTGAGCCTAGGATAAGACTCGTAAGACCAGACTTTAGGACATTAGGCTTGAACTCTAGGTATTTAGGAACATAGGATTTAGGAATCTTAGGACGCGCGGTGAGATTGTGAGCCTACCTATCATCACATAACCTCCCCTTACTTTTTTAAAGAATTTCCCCCTTCGCTTATCACATCAAGGTAAGGGTACAACACACTAACTCTTCATTCAACATACTTACCCTAGAAATCTGTGATGTCCTTACATGATTTTACCTGCTTTGTTGCTTATCACTCTTTGATTACCATACTTGTTTATTTGCCTAAGCATATGTTCCTAATTGATTTTTTTTAGACCAAGTTAGGAACTGCATATTATTGCTTAACTATTTGATCAAACATGCGCTATCTGGATATCTGTTACTTGATAAAGTATTTTGGAACTTGCAATTAGTAATTTCATTCGGCTTATAAGACCACACTTGTCCTAATCATAATTGACCAATATAGTTAACTCACTAATATCCCGATAAGTACTTACATGAGTTGCATGGAGGGGAATTTTGGGGAACATAGCTTAATTAAGAAGGGGAAGAATGGGGCGTAGGATCCTTATGATATCTAGTTGAAGTCTCCCATATTCCTTATTAGTATCATAATAACGTGATCCCTTGAGTTTTCTATGTATTCAAACCCCTTTCGTTGTTCACATAAAGTATGGAATTCCTTGAAACTTATAATTGTGCATTCTCGGGGCTTTTCCCGATGTGATTCCTCCTTCACAATCATGTTCTAGTAGGGCCTTGGCAGGAGGTTGACCACCCACCACGTGCCCACGACCACATTCCAGTGGGGACTTGACAGGCGGTCGACCGCCCACCTCGCGCCCACTGGTCCGGTATGTTTTCTTGACTTCTCATTTTTATTGACCCATTGTGCCTTTGTCTGTCTCCCTTGATACTTCCTATGTGTTTAACATATAAATAACAATCTAATGCTTGAACATGAAAATCGAATTATCTTCCTAATTGACTTATTTATATGTTACATAGAAATTCTAGGGACTAATTCTATTTCTAGAAATCTAAACCCTCAGATACATTGCGTATTAAGTTTCGACCCGAAATTCAATCTGAGTGAGACCAGTAGAAACCTAAAACAAGTGGTCATCTAGAAATTATCCTTGGAAAAATATGTTGCGTCCCCAAACTATCATAAAACTATCCCTCTAGACCTTGGTCCATGTTGCATAATAGACCACAAGCTCCCCATACCCTGTTTAGGACCCTTTACCAATAAGATAAGGACCCCCCCTAAACAAACATTTATACATAAATAGGTACATCACTACTATTCTAGATATATTCCCCTAAAACTCCTATCATATATATATATATATATATATATATATATATATATATATATATATATATATATATATAAAATATGTAGTAAATCCCAATTACATTCATATGCTACACTTACACCAAATTGTTATTATTATTATTATTATTATTATTATTATTATTATTATTTTTATTATTATTATTATTATTATTATTATTATTATTATTATTATTATTTTCATTTTTATTGCACCCTAATCCTAAATCACCTTGCCTAATCTTAAAAATGATTTCGTCATGTACGGTACGTCCCTATACGCTTAAATCTATATATATGTGTGTGTATAAACTTGTGAGCCTATAGAACATCCTCCCCTATTCATACGTATTCATATAAATTGTTACATTATATACAATAAATCCCTAGCCCCCAAACCATACACATGTACCCTACCTACAATAATCTTACGTACACCTATAAGCTTGCCCTTAGCATATCCTAACACTGAAATATCATCCCGTACAAATTACATCACTATTATATATATACATATATATACACATATTCTGGGATAGCCCTAATTCTACTTTTCCCCCTCGCATGACCTTCCTGTTACCACTCCTACCTTCCCTTAATAATTAAAAACTTTAACCTCATCATCAGGTCGTCAATTGATTTATGAATTAGCAACCAAGGGTCTTCAACTCTAAAGTTGTTTAGGTATCCCGGGCTTCTAGAGGTAAGATTTATACCTACCTAAAATCTAATTACCACCAAGATAAAACTAATTTTTCTAAGTGCTTGTGTGATTAAATTCTCAAGGTAGAACCTCTAGTACTTGTGAACCTAGGCTATCTTACTCGTAATTACTAAAATATTTGTATGCAAATTGCATGGTCCAAACTATAGGTCGGAATTTATATTTT